TCATCAACGCAGCAATGATGCTCACACTGGAATGTTTAGATGCCATGTTTTGGTATGTCATTATCTGACGTGTTATTAAACACACTCCAAAAGCATTGAGAAAGCAAGCAAAAGAACAGTCTTAATGCAGAGCCTGTGTGTTTTTGTATTCCTCACATTTGGTCCCCACAAGGATATAAATACTAGTACATTTTAGATGCCATGTTTTGGTATGCCATTATCTGCTGTGTTATTAAACACACTCCAAACCATTTAGAAAGCAAGCAAATAAACAATCTCAATGCATGCTTTTGTCTCTTGTATTCCTTGGATTTGGTCCCCACAAGGATATAAATACTAGTAAATCTTAGATGCCCTGTTTTGGTATGACATTATCTGCTGTGTTCTTAAACACACTCGTAAAACCTTTAGAAAGAAAGCAAAATAAACAGTCCTAATGCACGGCCTGTGTGTGTGTATCTTTTATTCCTCGCATTTGGTCCCCACAAGGATATCAATACTAGTACATTTTAGATGCCATGTTTTGAAATGCCGCTATCGGCTGTGTTATTAAACACATTCCAAATCATTTAGAAAGCAGGCAAATAAACAATCTTAATGTACGTGTTGTTGTTGTTGTTGTTGTGTGTGTGTGTGTGTGTGTATCTTGTATTGCTCGCATTTGGTCCCCAAAAGGATATCAATACTAGTACATTTTAGATGCCATGTTTTGGTATGCCATTATCGGCTGTGTTATTGAAAACACTTCAAACTATTTAGAAAGCAAGCAAATAAACTATTTTAATGCTTGCGTTTGTATCTTGTATTCCCTGTATTTGGTCCCCACGAGGATATAAATACTAGTAAATTTTCGATGCCATGTTTTGGTATGCCATTATCTGCTGTGTTATTACACACACTCAAAATCATTTAGAAAGCAAGCAAATAAACAATACTAATACACGTGTGTGTGTGTGTGTGTGTGTGTGTGTGTGTGTGTGTGTATCTCCTTTTCCTCTCCCATGGTCCCCACAAGGATATAAATCCTAGTACATTTTAAATGCCATATTTTGGTATGCTGTTATCTGCTGTGTTTTTAAACACACTCCTAAAACCTTTAGAAAGAAAGCAAAATAAACAGTCCTAATGCACGGCCTGTGTGTGTGTATCTTTTATTCCTCGCATTTGGTCCCCACTAGGATATCAATACTAGTACATTTTAGTTGCCATGTTTTGGTATGCCATTATCTGCTGTGTTATTAAATACACTTCAAACCATTTAGAAAGCAAGCAAATAAACTATTTTAATGCTTGCGTTTGTATCTTGTATTCCCTGGATTTGGTCCCCACGAGGATATAAATACTAGTAAATTTTAGATGCCATGTTTTGGTATGCCATTATCTGCTGTGTTATTAAATACACTTCAAACCATTTAGAAAGCAAGCAAATAAACTATTTTAATGCTTGCGTTTGTATCTTGTATTCCCTGGATTTGGTCCCCACGAGGATATAAATACTAGTAAATTTTAGATGCCATGTTTTGGTATGCCATTATCTGCTGTGTTATTACACACACTCAAAATCATTTAGAAAGCAAGCAAATAAACAATACTAATACACGTGTGTGTGCGTGTGTTTGCGTGTGTGTGTGTGTGTGTGTGTTTCTCCTTTTCCTCTCCCATGGTCCCCACAAGGATATAAATCCTAGTACATTTTAAATGCCATATTTTGGTATGCTGTTATCTGCTGTGTTTTTAAACACACTCCTAAAACCTTTAGAAAGAAAGCAAAATAAACAGTCCTAATGCACGGCCTGTGTGTGTGTATCTTTTATTCCTCGCATTTGGTCCCCACTAGGATATCAATACTAGTACATTTTAGTTGCCATGTTTTGGTATGCCATTATCTGCTGTGTTATTAAATACACTTCAAACCATTTAGAAAGCAAGCAAATAAACTATTTTAATGCTTGCGTTTGTATCTTGTATTCCCTGGATTTGGTCCCCACGAGGATATAAATACTAGTAAATTTTAGATGCCATGTTTTGGTATGCCATTATCTGCTGTGTTATTAAATACACTTCAAACCATTTAGAAAGCAAGCAAATAAACTATTTTAATGCTTGCGTTTGTATCTTGTATTCCCTGGATTTGGTCCCCACGAGGATATAAATACTAGTAAATTTTAGATGCCATGTTTTGGTATGCCATTATCTGCTGTGTTATTACACACACTCAAAATCATTTAGAAAGCAAGCAAATAAACAATACTAATACACGTGTGTGTGCGTGTGTTTGCGTGTGTGTGTGTGTGTGTGTGTATCTCCTTTTCCTCTCCCATGGTCCCCACAAGGATATAAATCCTAGTACATTTTAAATGCCATATTTTGGTATGCTGTTATCTGCTGTGTTTTTAAACACACTCCTAAAACCTTTAGAAAGAAAGCAAAATAAACAGTCCTAATGCACGGCCTGTGTGTGTGTATCTTTTATTCCTCGCATTTGGTCCCCACTAGTATATCAATACTAGTACATTTTAGATGCCATGTTTTGGTATGCCATTATCTGCTGTGTTATTAAACACACTCCAAACCATTTAGAAAGCATGTAAATAAACAATCTTAATGCATGCGTTTGTATCTTGTATTCCTTGGATTTGGTCCCCACGAGGATATAAATACTAGTAAATTTTAGATGCCCTGTTTTGGTATGCCATTATCTGCTGTGTTATTACACACACTCAAAATCATTTAGAAAGCAAGCAAATAAACATTATTAATGCATGTGTTGTTGTTGTTGTTGTTGTGTGTTTGTGTGTATTTTGCATTCTTCGCATTTGGTCCCCACAAGGATATAAATACTAGTAAGCTTTGGATGCCATGTTTTGTTATGTCTCTTCTTTTATGTTTTTACACACACTCCAAAAACCTTTAGAAAGCAAACAAAATAACAGCGTAAATGCAAAGCATGTGTGTGTATATGTATGCATGCCGAATTCCTCACATTTGGTCCCCACAATGATATAAATACTAGTAAACTTTAGATGGCATGTTTTGTACACCCTTATCTGCTTGGTTATTAAACACACTCTAAAATGCTTTACAAAGTAAGCAAATAAAGTCTTAATGCACCACCTGCGAGTGTGTGTACATTAATCCTCACATTTGGTCCCCACAAGGATATAAATACTAGAAATTTTTTAGATGCCATGTTTTGGTATGCCGTTATCTGATGTGTTATCAAACAGACTTCAAAAGGCTTTAGAAAGCAAGCGAATAAAGAATCTTAATGCATGTGTTGTTGCTGGTGTGTGTGTGTATCTTGTATTCCTCTCATTTGGTCCCCACAAGGATATAAATACAAGTAAATTTTAGATGCCATGTTTTGGTATGCTATTATCTGCTGTGTTATTAAAAACACCCCAAAAGGCTTTAGAAAGCAAGCAAATAAACAATCTTAATGCATGGCCTGCATGTGTGTATCTTGTATTCCTCACATTTGGTCCCCACAAGGATATAAATACTAGTAAATTTTAGATGCCATTATTTTTTTGTTTTGGTATGCCATTATCTGATGTGTTAATTAAACACACTTCTAAAATCTTTAGAAAACGTGCAAATAAACTGTCCTAATGCACAACCGGTGTGTGTGTGTTGTATACCTCACGTTTGGTCCCCACAAGGTCATAAATACCAGTAAATTTTAGATGGCATGTTTTAGTATGCTATTATCTGCTGTGTTATTAAACACACTCCAAAAGCCTTTGGAAAGCAAGCAAATAAGCAGTCATAATGCACACCCTGTGTGTGTGTGCGTGTGTGTGTGTGTGTGTATGTGTGTGTCGTAGTTGCTAAATGACTAAATGTAAATGTAAATGTGTCTTGTATTCCTCATGCAGTGGGGACCAAATGGGGATATCAATGCTAGTCAATTTTGTAAGGACATGTTTTGGTCCCCATAAGAACACCTGCTCGTAAATAAGACAGAATGGAGTATTTTAAAAATGTAAACATGCATATTAAATTGCTGTGAGGGTTGCTTTAGGTGTAGATAGACAGAATATACACTATAGAAACATCATTACGCTATAGGAAAGTCCCTATTAAGATTGCCACGAGTGTGTGTGTGTGCGTGTGTGTGTGTGTGGCACAATGCACGCGAGGCATCAGAGCTGTCCATTATTTCAGTGAATAATTGTGCATCACCCTACAAATGAAAAATCAATACGCACCAAGCTTTTATTTTAATGCACTGATAGGATGCTGTTCGACGGGACGACAGCGTTTCTGACACCTACTACAAACTACACTGAGGATGAACATTCAGCTCTTGCTTTTTCTCCATCCGAACAAAGGAAAGGGGGTCTGCGCCGCCCATCGCTAGAGGGGGCAACAAGCCTGATGGAGCGGGGCAGGAGGGGAATATAACAGCCAGTAATTACCAACACATCCCTATTCAGCACCTCTCTGAAAGGCTTTTCTTTAACGCACACACACACACACAGGGAGGGAGAGAAAGAGACAGACGGCTCCTCCACACACAGCACGCTCAACTTGTTTATATCAAGTGTGTTTTCACGGCAATGTAAACAACACAAGCACTAGATTTAAATGCATTATGAATTATGCAGGAAAATAATGAGGCGTGCATTCTACACTCTTAAAAATAAAGGTTTCTAAATATTTTTGTTCTTCTTTATTGTGATTTTTAAAGCATTTCAAATGCAAAATAAATAAATAATGATGCACAAATTGTATTCAGCGTCATTCAAAGTCATTCCAAAGCAGAATAATTTAATAATGATGCACTAATTTACGTGCATCTTAATAATAAAGCTTTCCGAATATTGTTATTCTCCCATTTTTAAATCATCCAAATTTGCTCTTGAGAATTTCCGTCAATTGCAAGAAAGCACCTTTATTTTATGACGAGTGCAGCTTTTTTTGTTTTTGTTTATAGTAAACAAACTGTTCCACATGCACCCTGCCAATTGAGTTTAAAAGCAGATACCTTGTCTTACCTGCAAGCCGAAGGGCCGACATCCTCTGAAACTCGGGCTCCTGTAACCACTTCCACATGCGCCGAAAGGTCTCTCGGCCCGACTTGAGTTTACTCCAGGGTTTGGGGTTCCGCAGCAGGTCGGACAGGGTGCCCTGCGAGCGGCACAGCACCCGCTGCGCGAAGATGGCCTGCGGGATGCTGTAGCGCTTCAGCTCGGCCGTGATCCGCTGCGCCACTTCCTTGGTGTTGATCTCTTCCAGCTGCCCGGAGCCCGGAGCCCCGCAGGAGGAGGAGGAGGAGGAGAGCGGTCTGTCCCGGTTGGAAGCCAACACGGGCCCGTGGGATGGAGGGTGGCCCGGGTGCGCGTGCATCCCGTTGAGATGCGGCATCATGCCCGCCGCGGGGCCACCGAGGCCTCTGGAGAGGTGCTGGTCCCCCCTGCTTAGCATGGCAGTGTGCGCGTCGAAGTTGGAGCTCAGCATCTTGTCGTGGCCGTAATTGTGCAGCGTCGGCTGCGCGCTGTGTATGGAGCCCAAGCCGTTGCCCAGAGGGGACAAACTCTGCCCCATGCCGCTCATATCTTTGTGGTAGGGGCTGTAGAGGTTGTTCATGGCCGGTAGAGTCCTCTCGTCCCGCATGAGAGTGAAACTGCCGCTCACGTTCCCGGAGAGCCGCTGGTGGTGGTGGTGATGGTGGTGGTGCGGATGGTGGAATTTGTCGGAGACGGTGGAGATCGGCGGCAGCGGCTGCAGCGGGGTCAGCGTGGTGTAGGTGCCGCTCATCCCGGGCGGGGAGGTGTCGCAGGGCATGCTCATGGCGTGATGGAGCGGTAGGGAAAGCTCCGGACGGTACTCTCCCCCTCCGCCGCCTCCGCCGCCGCCGTCCAGTATCGAAGCCATGCTGGAGACCATCGCGGAGCGCGACGGAGCCACGCTCAGGTCCTGGTGTATCCGCAGAGCAGCCCCCGGGTTGCGGCTGTGATGGGGGCTGTGGCTGCTCATCAAGTCCTGCTCATGGCTTACTCCAGCATGTAGGCTGCCAATGTCCATTGTCATCTCTGGGTTCATGGCGTACGCATCCAAATCCTTGGCCAGGCATCGATAGGCGTTATAGGCAGTCTTCATTCAGTCCATTGATTTATGTCCAGCTTTGTGCCAGGGATGGGTTTTCTCTCTCCTTGTTATTTTTTTTATTACTAAGGCCTCTCGGTTTTTTTTCTTCTTTTTTTCCCCTCCTTCTTAATAAATAAAAACACCGATCTCTATCAGACGGGCCAGTGCTGATTTCTCCCCATGTCCGAGCCCTCTACTCCTCCTGCGTCTTCTGTTTGGGCAGCTGGAGGTGTTCGGGGTGGGCTTGCTCCGCGCGCACCCGACCCTGCTGAAAGGGGAGGAGCTTCGGTCTTGATGGACAGGCAAACGGGCCAGTCGCATTGCGGAGAGCTCGGCTCGTTAGTCTTCTGGCCAATGGCTGACGCGCGGACGCGGCTGTTTGGAGTCGCTGCCTTTGCATCTGGAATCTGGCGTCAGACGGTCCCTTTACTGTCACTCCAAACGGATCATTCGTTCAGTTCATCATCTAGCCTAACCCCAACCCCCTCCAAAAAAATAATCATACACACATACAGTCATTTAAAAAGAATCAATCAGGCCAAATACTGTGCGATGTATCTGTAAAACGGAAATTTTACATTTGTACATGTATAATGCAAATCTATCTATCTATCTATCTATCTATCTATCTATCTATCTATCTATCTATCTATCTATCTATCTATCTATCTATCTATCTATCTATCTATCTATCTATCTATCTATCTATCTATCTATCAGAATTAATTAAAAAACAACTGCGCACTTGCGTAAATGTTGAAAGTTACACCATTTTCGAACAAACAGATAATCCAAGACTGCTTCTTTACATTAATATTTAAATAATTAATTACTATATGCATATTACATTCAAAATACTGCAAACTTGTAAAGCTAATAAATTTAAAACAACACGATGTAAACCAGTGCCCAAAATTCTTGTTTATGATTAAGAATAAATTTGCGCGATGCTGTTTTAATTCTGTATGCACACACTCCTAAATTTAGCGAACAAACAAACAAAAAAATAATCAGCATTTTTTAAAATTCTACTCAGTTTCAGAGAACTACAAATCACATCTTTTGAGTCAAATCGATCAACCCACAGCAAGTTTTCCGCCTTGAAGTGATTCAGAAGTAACAGATTTCTCCAAAGCCGGTTGCTATTTTGTTTGGAGGATGCGCAGATGTTGCTTTTGTTTAAAGCGACTGTAATTAAGGATGAGCGACAGAAGTCTGAAAAGCGTGACCTATTTTTCTTTTGATCAGCTGTCAGAGGAGGAGCAGGGGCCCCAGTGTCCTCCCCGGCCCTTCAGCTGCCGCAAATTGGAGGAAAAGTGTCCGCGTGTACCTGCCAGAGAAGCGGAGGAAACTCAAGACGGACAACAGAGTTTGATTCCTGCTCTGATGCTTTTGTGCAGCTCTGCTTTGGCACACTCCAACTAATGCGAAGAATCACGGACTGAAAAAGGCCCTTATTCATGTCAAAGAAAATCGATATTTGAAAGAGAGAGAGAGAGAGAGAGAGAGAGAGAGAGAGAGAGAGAGAGAGAGAGAGAGAGAGGGAGAGAGAGATCCAACGTGGACTTTGTTTTCTTTACAAATGCATATAAAAGTTGAAATGCTAAAGTTTACTTAGGCAAGGCAAGTTTATTTAAAAATGCATATTTTTTACATAATGATAATTCAAAGCACTTTACTTAAATAAGTATAAAAGGAATAAATATATAAAATAAAAACAGGAAATAATAAGTATTATAGAGAAAAGGGGCATTGTTTAAAGCAGATGAATTTACGTGCGCGCACTCTTGTTTAAATAGCCTATTACTTCTATTTAGGACTTTATATATTAATAATTATTTAATTTGGTTATAATCCTGCTGTTTTAGTTGCTTAAAATCGAAACATATATTTAACTAAAAGGAAAATAATTAATAAATAATTTGTTGCAAGTTATTAATGTTAAAGAAAAGTGTAGCTAGCTGATAGTACACTACTTTATAAACAACAAGTTATACATATACACACACACACATATATATATATATATATATATATATATATAAACCATCTTATAGAATAAATAAAGTTAATCATTACTGGGTTGCAGCTGGAAGGGCATCCGCTGAGTAAAACACATGCTGGATAGGTTGGCGGTTCATTCTGCTGTGGCGACCCCTAATGAATAAAAGGACTAAGCCGAAGGAAAGCGACCAAATAAGTGAATAAAAAACAAATAGAAGACAATTAATTATTTTAAAAAATTATATATATATATATATATATATATATATAATATCCGTGTTGGCGTGGGTTTGCTCCGGGTGCTTGTTTCCCCCACAGTCCAAACAAATGCGCTATAGGTGAATTAAATAAGCTAAATTGGACGTAGTGTATGTGTGAATGAGCGTGTATAAGTGCTTTCCAGTGCTGGCTTGTGGCTAGAACGACATCCGCTGCGTAAAACACGTGCTGGATGAGTTGGCGGTTCATTCCGCTGTGGCGATCCCTGATTATTAAAGGAACTCAGCTTAAAATGAATGAATATATATTTAAAGGTAAATTACTTCATGCTACACTAAAGATCAGTGTTGTTTTAACCCAATTTAACCCAAGTATAGACAAAAAACAACATTAGATTTATTTCTCTATTTTCCTAAATTTAAATTACACTTATTAACCCGAACAGTTGTCCATATTTAACCCAACAATGTTGTATTTTTATAGTAGGACACATTTAAACGCCTAAAACAACTACCACACGAATCTATTAATAGTAAAGCAACAAAAACAAACACAATAGAGAATCCGTTTGAGCGTTTTAAAATGCAAACCAATTGATTTCCGTGAGAACTAATATGCATTTGATGTCAGTTTGAACACTTTGATCAATGCTTCACCTGAAACCCATTTAAAAGCACTGCAACTGTAAATATTATCATTTAGTTTCGGTGAATCACGATGAGATTAACTAATCAGACTGGATTAAATGAATCACTCTTCTGAGTTTATTATCATTATAAGTACTCGAAAGCTGCATTCAGAGGCCCGAGTGACTCTTCGATTGGGACAGTTTTTTTCTGTGGCTCTCCGACCATCTGCCGTGTGTGTGCAGCGTTATTGATCAAAATCAATGCGCTCGGAGCCCAAGACTCAATGACGGTGGTGTGCGTTTATATTGGCCGTCAGTTCGCGTCCTGAGCTGCATCTGTTCCGGTAAACCTGGTGCGCTTTTGGTGGTGGATGTGGACCGGCAGCTCTCGGTAAGTCTCGGATATTCCTCCGGTACATTAAACGCGGCTGAAATGCGGTTCGGATGCTTTTTGCTTTTCGTGTTTATCCAAAGCTGCGCGGCGCGTGAAATGCGCAGCGACGGATACATTTATTTAAATAACCAGGAGAGAGAACTATTAATGTGAGATATAGAAGAAAATTAGCTTATGTGTGTGTTTTTAAAATATTATAGCTGTTTAATTAAACAAAATGAGCTGCTTGTACTGCCTAAATATGACAATATGCATTCAGGCAAATGCATGTGTGTGTTTTTAAATATTATAGCTGTTTAATTATAAATAAATACGTTGCATGTGCTTCCTAAAAATGACATTCAGCCGAATGCATGAGTGTTTTAATATTATAGCTGTTTAATTGTGCAAAGAAAAGCTGCATGTGTTTCCTAAATATGACATTCAGCCAAATGCATGTGTGTTTTTAATATTATAGCTGTTCAATTGTGTAAAATAAGCTGCATATGCTGCCTAAATATGACATTAAGCCAAAATGCATGTGTGTTTTAAATATTATAACTGTTTAATTGTGCAAATATACGCTGCATGTGTTTCCTAAAGATGACATTTAGGCAAATGCATTTGTGATTTTAATATTATAGCTGTTAATTGTGTAAAATAAGCTGCATTTGCCGCCTAAATATGACATTCAGCCGAATTCAATGTGTGTTTATATATATATATATATATATATATATATATATATATATATATATATATATATATATATATATATATATATATATATATTTAGCTGTTTAATTTTGCAAAAAATAATGTGCTGCCTAAATATGACAATATGCATTCAGGCAGATGCTTGTGTCTTTTTTTTTCTTTTTTTTTTAATATTATGGCTGTTTAACTGTACTGAAATAAGTTGCATGCCTAAATATGACATTTAGCCAAATGCAAAATGTTTTTTTTTTATATGATAGCTGTTTAATTGTGCAAAACACGCTGCATGTGCTGCCTAAATATGAGAATATGCATTCAGCCAAATGCATGTGTGTTTTATTAATATCATAGCTGTTTAATTGTGCAAAATAAGCTGCATGTGCTTTCTGAATATGACATTCAGCCAAATGCATGTGTGTGTGTTTTCTATTATAGCTGTTTCATTATGTAAATATAAGCTGTATGTCTTGCCTAAATATGATATTTACTTTTATTAAGGGAGACATCATTGTTATTTCGGTGTACTTTACACCGTCTCCGACAAATGTATTTCTGTTTATATTAGTGTTTGTAACACTTTGCTAATGAATGCTATTGCAGTATAGCTATAGTGGATTGATAAAATAATAAATACTGCAGTAGTCTATGCTTTAGTACGTTGCTGGTGCATTGTAGAATAACATATATTATTTGTATACCCCAACAGATTAATTCAAGTACTTTACCAGAATAAAACACTGTAATATTTACTATAAATTGCTATATGATTTGTTTGTGTTGGCAGGCTTTTTATAATGAAATAGGATGGTTTAAAACACCTTTATTACATGAAATACTTTTAACTTTTTATTTTACATATTAATATTGCAATTATTTACTTAAATGCGCACTGTTAAATGTACGCATGCATTTTAAATGATAAATGTTTGTTTATTAATGATTTACATATGTTTTAAAATATTCATATAGTGCATTTTTGATTTTACAGTACATATATCAAAAATGTCAAGTCTATAAATTGTTTTTTTGTTTTATTTCGTGGCTTAATATTTACCTTGAACTGCGCATGCGGCAGACTGAATCGATCTTCCGTCATTTCACGGGCTTTGAGATCTGAATAAAGGAAAGGAAACAAAGGAAAACAAAACAAATGACTTTTTAAGAGTTGAAACGGGGAGATCTGAAAGTCCTGTGCTGTGTTAACACGTCACGGGACTTTCAGAAAGCACACACACACACACACACACACACACACACACACACACACACACACATACACACACACACACACACACACACACTGGAGGCAGTCGGTTTGGACTCTGTTGTTCGGGTCTTCTCGTGCATGAAATGACCGAACAGGTGTTTACAGATTGTTTTATTTTACTCCAATTAACTTCAGCTAAAGTTTTGACGTCTCACATGCTGTCTATGTAGCACACCACAACAATATTCACGATAGGGACATGCGCCATTATTAAGATTCATCAGTTTACGCTTGATCATTTTCAATAATAATTATAACACGGAAATAAGTCACGAATAAATGTACAGGTTACCACTATCTCAATCATATATGATAACCAAATTGACTGCTAATAATAATTTTTATTCCATCTGACTATTTAAAGTCTGTATAGTGAGTC